ACCATAGACTTGGTGGCTTACACATCTCTCCCAGTTCTGGAGGCTGGAAGTCTACGATCAAAGCTTAGCAGGTGCTTAATGGGTTTAGTTGAATCAGTGATGTCTCACACAAGGAAAGGGCATCACAAAAACAGCTCTCTCAGGCTCTGGTGAACTGAAGAGAGGCACAAGATTATGAAAACATTTTCTCTCTTATCTGAACCAAAATATCACTAGCAGCCAGAGAGAAGGGACTTGGCACTGGGAAGTGATGGTGCCATGCCCAGCTCTGTGGCTTCCTCCTTTGGAGTCCCAAGCCATGGCTCTCCTTTTCCCCCTGTGCTAGTGCCTATTGTGGACAAGGTGTGGGAGGGTTCGTGCAGGGCTGGTCTCGTGTTTCCTGCTATACACAGTACTCCCAAAGATCTGGTGGTATCATATTGTCACATCTCAAGCCATAGAGTGATTCTTTCCCTTGTGCCTTCTTTTTGAACAGCCAAGGACTTCATTCGGAATCTGATGGAGAAAGACCCAAATAAAAGATACACCTGTGAGCAGGCAGCTCGGCACCCATGGTAAGAAAAGTCACCCACCGTGAACCCTTTCATCCCAGGCCTCACAGGCTAAACTCTTTGGCTGTTGTCAAACTCTTTTGTCCCCTCAGGACACAGTCTTCTGGATGCACTTGTAAGGAGTTAAGTGTACAAAAGAGAGCTGTTGCTTTTTCTCTTTACAGAAAGTTTTTAAGGATCATTTTTATCGAAATTGCCAAATGAGGTGTTAAGATTGGAGTTTTATTCTATGCATTTATTACTTAGCAGTTAAATGATTTGAAGTTATATACTTTTTTCTTTTTAAGGTGCTTTTCAAATTACTGTTTCTCCCACTCTAGAGAGACTAATTGACAGTTTGTGGCATTCTGTGTGACATTTTCAGCTGTATGCTTCAGGCCACCTTGTTTCTGCGGCACTTATTAAGTTAGAACCCAGCTTCATTGTCAACTAGCTGTGACTTTGGGTTTATGCCACTTTTCTGAGTCTCAAATTTCTCATTGGCAAAACGAGAATAACAATACCTGATTTACAGGGTTGACCTAAGAAATGATGGAGCTAATGCGTGTACAGGGTTTACACAATGTCTGGTACATAGTAAATGCTCATTTAATTGTAGCTATTATTATTAAAGCACTATTAGCATCTATTTTGAAACAAATGCCAAGAGTAGTAAAATATCCAAGATAATGAAAATAAATGGACAGAACCTTGAGTTCAAGAGAAGTCCCCCCCTAAGAAGCCTCTAGAAAACTGTTCCCCTCTTCAGTCCACTATCTTCTGTGGCATTTCCTCCAGGGTTTCACATCTTGGTTAACCTCCTAAAGGGGATCTGCCTAAAGGTGGGTGCTAACCTAGTTTCACGGTATTTTAATTTATAACAGCTGTCATTTATTGAGTCTCTATTATGTTCCAGGCATTGTGCTAATTGCTTTAAAGTATTATCTCCTTTTTAATTTATAATAACCCTGCAAGGTTGGTTTTGTCTTCATTTCAGAGATAAAGAAATAGAAAGATAAAGTAACTTGGCCAGGACTACCCGGCCAGCTAATGGCCAAGCCAGGATTTCAGGCAGAACTGTCTGGTTCCAAAATGAGTGTTCCCCACTACCATGCTGAAAGAAGAAAAAGAGAAAGAAGGAAAGAGTTTGGGGGGAAAGGAAAGAGTTTTCTGAACTAGACAGTTCTGATTGTATATCATCTTGATATTTTTTAATGTCACTTTGGACAATAGGTCAAAGCATGTGATGGTAAAAGCAGTAAAGGTTTTCTTACTTTATGAACAATAGACCTTTAAAGCTGTAAGACTTCTGAGATTACTGTACCGTATAGAGGAGGAAAATGACCTCAAACAGAAGGGAAGTGACCTGCCTCCTAGTGCTTGTTCACTAGTCCAGCCTGGCTCTGTAGAAGGTGGGAAGGTGGCCAGTTAAAACCTGGTCTCTCTTTCAGCAAATGCTTTTGAAAAATCAAAGAGAGAGGTGGGTTTTACTGAAGGGGCTGGGAGAGGGGCAGAGTGGGCTCAGGGGAATGTGATGGCCATGCCAAGCCTTGCACCACGAGAAGACTTCCACCAACCAGGAGGGAGGGGATTCCAAGCAGGGTAGGCAGCCTGGGCCATGGCAGGGGGGCTTAAAACTGCACATCCATGCTCAGTGCCACAAGCACTTGGTGTTCTAGAGTAAGAATGGACAGAGGAGAGAGACAGGAGACAAAATGAGAAATGAATGCAGCCATCACAGGGTTGGGCCTGGCCTGCTTGGCTCTCCACTCATTCCCTGTGTGGGTGAGCTCCTCAACAGAACTGAGATCCTAAGTAACAACAATATGCATCCTCCAGGGCTTTGCAAGGGGTGGAATGAGATCATACCCATAACAAAGTAGAGTACCTGGTGCCTAATACATCTTCCATATATATGAGTGTACTAAGGAACTTATACATTTCCCTTTGAGCAGGGGGCCCACGTGCATTTTAGAAAGCCCCGTCTGGCTTCAGGCTGGAGGATGAGTGGCAGGAGCTGGGTATGGGAACATGGCAGGAAGGTAGAGAGGAGGCTGGCCCAGACCAGGGGTGGAGGGGGATGGAGAGGACCAGGGCACACAGAGGGAGAAGCTGCACGCACCACAGGGCACTGGGTTGGGGGGGAAGCGGGGTCTGAGATTATTCCCAAGTTTCCAGCCTAAGGGGCTGGGAGGAGGAGAATGAGCTCGGCTTGGGGCATGCTGAGCTGGAGGTGCTGGGAGCCACTGAGGTGGGGCCCTGTGGCGAATGAGTGTGTGGCTCTTGGGAAAGAGGTCACACTAGAGCAAAGACTTTCGAGTCGCCAGTCTGAGTCACGTTGCAAGAGATATTAGCCTGTGAGCTGTGTCAGCAAATGCTTCTGAATTTCAAGGTGGCTTTTTTCCCAGTGTTCTATCATTTTCACCGTGCATTTCAAAATTCCCAGGAAGTCAAACATGGGAAAATAATAAAAGCGAATGCATTTGACCCAAGCATCACTGAAACTCCCCACTGGCCTGTATTTATGACATACTTGTCTCTCTTATGTAAAATTGCCTGGGTGAAGGAGAACACAATGCAGCAGGAGCTAGCAGGAAGTGGAAAGAAGAGCCCCCTGGGGCAGAGCTTCACCAGCACCACCACTCTGGGAGCTGTGGCCTCGGCACATCCACGGTAGCCAGGGAGTGTCATCGGTTAGTCCGCACTTGCTTTTCCAACTTAATCAAGACTACCCAGGGCTAGGAGAGGCCTCAGAAATCAAGGATGCTTTCCCTTAGCCTCTTAGACCACTACAGACCAAAGAGGGCTCTTTCCAAAGCTCTTCTAGTGAAGGTAGTCAGCCCTTCTTACCAGACGTTTCCAAGCCCCTCTCACTTGAGGGCTCGCCCGGGCTAGGAGAGGCCTCAGAAATCAAGGATGCTTTCCCTTAGCCTCTTAGACCACTACAGACCGAAGAGGGCTCTTTCCAAAGCTCTTCTAGTGAAGGTAGTCAGCCCTTCTTACCAGACGTTTCCAAGCCCCTCTCACTTGAGGGCTCGCCCCTGTCTTAGTGGTGGATGGTAAGGAACCAGCAGGCTGCTTACTGACGACAGCCAAAGAACAGGGAATGGCAGTGGCCTGATGAGAGCCCATGCCCCGATCCAGGACAGCACCTTGCCCGAGCTCATTTATGCAGGCTGGATTATTCTGGACATCGAGCTCCAGTTTAATTGATAAGCAAACTAAAGTGATGAGAGAGACTGAGAGAGAGAAATTAACATATTGCAAGGAATTAAGGCATTGGCTCACATGACTGTGCAGGCTGATGAATCCAGCAGGTTGGAGACACAGCTTGAGTCTGAAGACAGTCTGGAGGCAGAATTCCCTCTTCCTCTTTTGTCTTAAGGCCTTCAGCCGACTGGATGAAGCCCACCCATATTGCAGACACCAGTCTGCTTTACTCAGTGCTTACTGATTGAAATGTTAATCTCATCTAAAAAATACTTTCACAGCAACATCCAGACTATCACTATCTGGTACTGTGGCCTAGCCAAGTTGACACGTAAAATTAACCATCGCACTCCTGAATGTTCATTGTGACCCCCTCCCCTCTTCTGGGCTCCAGCCACCTGAGCTCTAATTGGCCATAGGAATTGGGAAGCAGCCCAGGGGTCCTGCAAAGCACTGTCTGGAATGCTGCCAGACGGCACCAGGCCTATCTTCAGCAAGTGGATAGAAAAACGCAGAATCAGCCATGGAGGTGAAGTGGAGTAGACCCCAGATGAAGCACAAGGACCCCAAAGGCAGAGGAGATGAGCTGGTGGTCTGTGAGCAGAGAAAGATAGTAAGGTCGGCCACTACAAGTGTGATCATGTAAATGCCATCCATATTGTTAGGGGAGGCTGCCAACCAGACAGCAAGGGAGATGTGAGTGAGACGTGCTTACCCGTGTGTGTGTGTGGGGGGGTGTGGTGTGTGGGTGTGGGTGTGTGTGGGTGTGGGTGTGAGTATGTGGGTGTGTACAGATTTATAAAGAAGCTCTTCTGTGTCAGCAGCATTGGTCAATTCCTAGGACAACCTAGATGACCACTAAGATCCCTCTTCCAAGCTGTCACTTTGTCCCCCATGGATTTGTCACCCCACTCCTCCTGCGTGATGGAGCCACAAAGGATTACTCAAAGCCCATCTTTTCTGAGCAGTGAGAGACCCCAAAGTGGTTAATCTCCCCCCAGAACCCTCAAGTGAGAGGCATCTCTTCCTTGGGAAATTAACCCCGAATCGGGGTTTTCTTCCTGCGTTTATTTTCCAGACCAGGAAGTTACAGGAAGAGAACATAGGTGGGGTTATAATTTAACAATATACGCTGGTAACTTTCAGTGAAACAAGTCAGATGACATCCCATTAGACAATTAAGTGTTCCTATCAACAAAGGCTTGGTCTTAGCAAACATTCCTTCTCCCTCTAGCAATTTCCAGTATCTTTACATTTCAGTCAGTAACTAGTCTGTCCTTGAGCCAGCAACCTTGCTGTGCCACAAATCTTTATCTTACACCAGAGACTTTATAGCCTGAGGAAAATTTCCAGTCCTCCGCAAGGTCAATATTTGAAATTGCAAGGCTTTGGAAAACCAGGCCCTGTGAAGTACATTTGCTTTGTAGTATATTCCACATCCAAGCCTCTGTGCCTTCAGCTTTGCTGATGAATAATGATGGAGTTAGTGACACTGGGCAGCCGGGTGGCACGTGTCATCAGAGTAAACTTCCTAGCCTATTGTGAGCAGCAGTTTTTGTGGTGGCCCACTTCAGGATGGCTGTTGTGCTGTTGTGGCCGAGGTGGCTGCACTCCCCCCAGCACCCAGAAGACTACTTGACAGGGGCCTCAGGGCCACCTTCTGCCCAGCTTCACTCCTACCCAATGGCAGCACTTCCTAGGACTGTGGGACGTGAGCACAAAGCATTCCTAAGTTCACTGCAAGTTTGCATTTTCCTTACATGTGAGCCACGTGAACCCACAAAAACGGCGTGGGAAGAAGAGCGGAGGCCCCAGGCCCAGGCTTGGAGCGTGTGATGCTGCCCCTGCTGCCAGGCAGGTGGAAGCTGTGTCCTAGGCCTCCCGGCCTGTTTGGTTTGGAGCCCGGCTCTGTCCTGCAGCAGTGCTCAGTCCCAGGAATTCCATACTTCCTACCACTTTGGCTCTGTCATTTCCAAGAAAATGCTGGCCACAGACAAGTTGGAACTAGCATCCTTCTCTGAGGATGTAGCTTTTAAAAACAGTCCAGAAGGAAATATTCCCATGGGTTCTGTAGGAGAAAAAGTTAAGTAAAGATGTCTACAGCTCCCCTAACCTCTCCGTTTCTTGATTTCAGATGTATTTGCCACTCTAATATCCTATTTCTGTTTGACTGATGTGCGTCTGGGGAAAGGGGGCAGTAGACAGTTGTTGGAAATGGAAACATGGTTCACTTCAGTTACTTTTTTTTTCCTCACTGCTTTAAAACCTTTATTTTTTGTTGTGAAGTTTAGCATAGAAAAGTGCACAGAACAAAAATGTACAGGCCAATGATTTATCATAAAGTGAACACCTGTAAAACACCCCCCAAACTGAAAAAATAGAACATTCACAGCACACTCCAGTTACTTTCTGAGTGACCTCTTGGCTATGTGTTTTCCTGCTGGGAAAAGAGAGGCGTATATTTAGGGGGGAAGTTGCTTTTAGCTAGGAATATCAGACCGGAGTCTAAACTCAGGCCAGCCTGGCACAGACTGAATGTCTAGTCCATCACTTGTGTTTGCAATTCTAATGTGAAAGAAAGGCTGGTGGTTGACTTCTTGTGTGGATAAGCCCTGAGCTTGTTCCTTTCTTTTTCCAAAGCAGTTGAAAGTGGCAGTCTGTGGCTTCTGGGCTGTTCTGTGTCCAAGGCAGTCTGGGTGTGGGAGCTGAAACATTTCTTCACTTACTGGTTACCTTCCATCCAGGAAGGATGGTCCATGACTCTGGCATCTGCCCCTGAACATTTCCAAGATTTGATAAACTCTTAGGCATCAGATGCCACCCTAGAATTTACTAGTTTGGTGCTAGAGGAAAGGCAAGGTGGAACGTTCAAAGCCCAGGAAAGACTGAGAGCAGAACACAGCCTCCTCTGAACCAGGGACGGTCAAAGGGTTGAAGGTGGAGGGGGACGATGTGGCGGTCGAGAGCAGGCTATGAGTGGCCTCCAGGTAATTCATAAGACTGGAGATTGTGAGCCGAGAGAAGGGGAAGACACAAGACCAAAAGCAGAGACAGCAGAGAGAGGAAAGAGTAGAGGAGGGGGACTTGATGGAGAGGAGGTGCTCAGCAAACCTACATTCCTCCCTGCTAGTAGGAGAAGCTCCAGAACAAGCAAGAATGAAATAAAAGATTGCCCAGGACAACCAAAGACCCAGTTGAATGCAGAGTAGATGTGGTCCTTGCAGTTCTGAGAATTGCCTAGGAAATGCAGGGGTAGAGGATGCACCCAGCGGGGTTTAGCTAAGCTGGGAATCATGCCCCCAAGCACAGAGAGGGCAAAGGGTGTGAGTTGGCCCCCAGAGCAATCTTTTATTTCATTCTTGCTTGTTCTGGAGCTTCTCCTACTAGCAGGGAGGAATCAGCGGGGTTTAGCTAAGCTGGGAATCATGCCCCCAAGCACAGAGAGGGCAAAGGGTGTGAGCTGGCCCCCAGAGCAGAGGTCCTGTGGAGGCAGAGAGGAGGGTTGCAGGTACGAGGAAGCCACAGCGGGGTTTAGCTAAGCTGGGAATCATGCCCCCAAGCACAGAGAGGGCAAAGGGTGTGAGTTGGCCCCCAGAGCAGAGGTCCTGTGGAGGCAGAGAGGAGGGTTGCAGGTACGAGGAAGCCGAAGCAAGGCTGGGCAGGGGTCTGGTGGTGAAACCAGCTGGGGAGCAAGCGTGAGATTGCAGAGGGGAAGCCTTGCAGGTCAGAAGATGGTGTGGCGGGAGAAGGATGGGAAACCGAATTCCCGTTGTGTTGTCATTGTGGATTCCAGTGTTGCAGGAATTGAGGTCAAAAAAGGGAAAAACTGAGAGCCAGGTAGTGAGGTCGACCAGGAGGGTGTTGGTGCATCCTGGGGAGGGTGCAGAGCACAGAAGGTGGGATACGACTTGGGGGCATGGTGGTGACATGTGGGCTCAGAGAAGAGCCAGAGGGTGACCTAATCAGTGTGGAAGGATGGTGGCAAGCAGTTTGGGGCCTGGTGTCAGAGCCCCAGAAACCCTTCTGAAGCAGCATCTCTGCCCCTGTTTCAGGATCGCTGGTGACACAGCCCTCAACAAAAACATCCACGAGTCCGTCAGCGCCCAGATCCGGAAGAACTTCGCAAAAAGCAAATGGAGAGTAAGTCCTGATATTTTTTAAATTTTTTTAAAAGGATTTTTTTTAAGTCCTGAATTTTTATTAAATTCCCTGTGAATGTAACCACACTCATGAAACTCACCTGCAGTCTGCACATTTCTCATTTCTAAAGGTTACCGTCACCTGAGTTTGGACAAAAATCCCAGCACCTCACCCAAACAATTTTACTAATTTTAATGGAAAGTGATTAAGATTTGGAGGGTGTATCATGGTGTAAGAGGGATCAAGTGTGTGATTAAACACCTCCCCTCCGTGATGCAAAAGTAGCAATGGTGCAGAGTAAGAGCAAAGAGTTCTTTCTCTGTTGCTGTTTCTCCAGCTACATAATCCCCTTCGTCTTTCTTCACTTTGCTAGAACTTTGAACAGTTGGCTTTTATTAAAGTGACACGGAAGTGGAAGAAAACAGGAAATCTGAATTGAACCTATTAATATTTTCTGGCAAAAATTTGATGGATTTAAACCATAGAGGTTTCTTGATCATCTTCTGATTGCCTAACCTCTGTGTTCTTTTTTTTTTTTTTGTCTTTTTCTGTGTCCGGCAACGGATTGCAACCCTCAGTGTTGCCCCCGTGCCTCGCTCAGCCAGTGAGCGGGAACCGGGCTGTCTGTGGGATCCGACCCCTCGGCGGGAGCGCCGCCGCGCTTCCCAAGCGGCGCTCTGGCGCAGTGCGCCACCAGGCCGGCCCCTAACCTCTGTGTTCTTTTTTTTTTTTTTGTCTTTTTCTGTGTCCGGCAACGGATTGCAACCCTCAGTGTCGCCCCCGTACTGGACCAGGACCGGCAACGGGATCGCAACCCTCAGTGTTGCCCCCGTGCCTCGCTCAGCCAGTGAGCGGGAACCGGGCTGTCTGTGGGATCCGACCCCTCGGCGGGAGCGCCGCCGCGCTTCCCAAGCGGCGCACTAGCGCAGTGCGCCACCAGGCCGGCCCCTAACCTCTGTGTTCTGATCAGCATGGGTAATTAAGAGCTGGCCTTTCACCATGGAACACCAGTGAGAAACTGTACAGAAACAGAATTAATCCCACTGACCTACTTTATTCAAAGGAAATGCTGTTATTGAGGACAAAAGTACTGGTAACAGGCAAATAAAAACTATTTTAAAACACATTTTAAGGTGTTATAATATCATAATATGCCTTTTATTCTAAAAGTCACTTCTCTTAAATTATGGAGAGAATCGTTTTGCATTTATTTTATATATTTATGATGTCAGAAGAAAACTATTTTAGTCTCTAAAATATATTTTGATGCAGAGGGGGTTTAAGTAAATAAGTATACTTTTAGAAGAAGGGGCAATACAGCTTTTCTTTCTAGAGTATCATGAGAAAGTTTTAAGAAGTTTGAAATGCTTAGGGTACCAGGATAAATAACAGGACACAGTTGGAGTCTTCTCTAATTAGCTGGAATATTTTGTCTGCTTTTTTCCTTTCTTAAATTTCAGCAAGCATTCAATGCCACAGCTGTCGTGAGACATATGAGAAGACTACATCTTGGCAGCAGCCTGGACAGTTCAAATGCAAGTGTTTCAAGCAGCCTCAGTTTGGCAAGCCAAAAAGATTGTGCGTATGTAGCAAAAACAGAATTCTTTAGCTGGCATTTAAGACAAGTTGGGGTGGAGAGAAGGGAATGGTCATTTGCTGAGTACCTACTGTTTGCCGGGCACCTTCAGTACTTAATCTCATTTAATGCTCACTACAACCCTAGGACATTATTTTTTTTTAAATAATTTTAAAATGTAATCATTATTTAATACTCAGCCAACCCTAGGTATTATTATTTCCATTTACAGATGAGAACTCTGTGGCTCAAGTTCCACACAGCCATGACTGTCTGGATTAAGGCCCAGGCACATTCTGATCCATCTCCTTCCCCTCTGCTTTGCTCCTTATTGAGCAGTTGCTCTAAGGTGTGAGGAAGGGGTGGCCGAGACTCATGACAGACTGATCTCACTGACTTCTCATATACGTTTTTTTGACGAGGGTGATGACGATCTGAGCTCATTTATATGCAGTGCGTAGTAGTCGTATTTCATTATCCTTCATATCTAGAGGGAATATTTTATCACTGAGGGCCCACTTACACTCTTCTTACTTCTCTGTCCCGCTCCCCCGTCTGTATTTATCTTAATCTCATGTTAGGCCATTCTGGCAGCTCCTCTCCATGTCAGAGCAGTTGCCTTGATTGGCTCTCGTCTCCCTAACCACTGAGCAGGCTATCAGCTTGGTTTTGCCCTAGGCCTCACAATCCTTCCCCTCAGAAAAGGGTTTCCTTCCTCTGGAATCATCCCATCTCATTCGGGAATGTCCAGCCCTTAAATTTTCCCAAAAACTCTCCACAAGCTTCCCCTGTCCCAGCTGCATGCCACTGTAGACCCTCATTCACATTCCAACGTAGAGCCTTTCCACCTTCTGCTCAAAGGGACCCCCACAGCTGATCATTTCTTTGATGAGTCATACAATAGCTTTGACAGCAAAGCCCATCTTAAGGATTTATTTCATGGGTCTCCCTATGTCCAAGTGTGCAAAGTTCACTGGGGTCACGCTGGAGCTAAATGGCCACTGGTGCCTCCCATGTTAAGGCCTCTCGTCACCAACATATCCACCTGGGGAAAGTTTAGTGTAGCCCATGAGGAGTTTTCTAGGCCAAGGGGCTGCTGAGTTCACACAGGAACAGGTGAACATCCTTATTTCAATGTGCTCTGTGTCACAAAATGCTTCTTAGTCCAGAGTACAGACAACACATCAAGCAGGGTGTCAGAAGGGGTATCAGATTCTGTCTTCATTCTTAAAATACATACTGCACAATGAACAATCCTTATAAGAAATGACCAATTCTTATAATGACAGTATGTATTCAGCACTTAGCCCAGTGCCTAGTACACAGTAAGTGCTCAGTAAATGGAACTGATCATATCATGGTGACTAAACCATATCATTCTCAAATACAAAGTAGTTACATTTGTAATGGAAAAAGGAGAGGAGAGTGGGTGTAAGGACAAAGTATTTTGAACACAATGTAAAGTTTTCCTATGGGTAGGTAAGCATGTAGAGTCAAGTGCGTGAGAGCTTGGCCCCCACAAACCCAGCCTGCGTGACACCCTTGCAGTGGGAAGGGGAGCCAGCATCTGCCTCTGAAGCTCTGAACTACGTGTCCACTGTTCCCCTGTAGGCCTGGCACCTTCCACGCCCTGTAGTTTCATGTCCTCTTCATCGGGGGTCTCAGGAGTCGGAGCCGAGCGGAGACCCAGGCCCACCACTGTGACGACAGTGCACACTGGAAGCAAGTGACTGGCTCTGGAGATGGGGCCCAGGGAAGGGGCCAGGGAAGGGGTGCCCCGGGCTACCAGTGCCATGAGCCATGCCAGTGAGACCCCACCTTGCATGGTGCACCTTCCTGCATAGGACTGGAAGACCGAAGTTTTTTTATGGCCATATTTTATACTGCAATTCTGAAGTGTTCATTTCTCATAAACTGTACTGACTCAAGGGGAGCGGATTTAACAGGATCTGGTGCTGTACATAGGAATCTTGCGAAGCTCTGATGAACGGACCTATTTACCCTTCTCCCCAACCCCGTCCTTTCCACTCTCCTCAGTACAGGTAACCGTCTATGGTGTATTTTTTCATTAATGACAAAAAAAAA